GTGTGCGCGCGCGCGTGTGTGTGCCTGTGTGTGTGTGTGCGTGCGTGTGTGTGTGGGGGGGGTGAGTCAAACCTTTCCCAAAGAAAACATTATTTTCTGAAGTATTTCCACAGGACTGAATAAATTTTTAACAAAACCTATTTGCAAGAATCTACTAAACAAATTTATTTTTTCTGGGGAAGTTTCAAGCTGACCCCCCTCCCCAAATAAAGGTCTTATTTCAGCTGTTTGTTTAGATGGTCCAAAAGCTGCTTTTCTACTCAGAAAAAGGCCTGCAAAGCCTCTGTCTTCCTTCCATCTGGCTGTGCTGAGGTGAGTATGTGGGTTGTGATGTTAGGAGCACAGTGGCGGGCTACTGCCACGTCATAAGGCATGGTAAGTCTAATTTATCATAAAAAACAAAAGATCAGATAGGAGCACCCTCACAGTTAGGTAAGAATTCTGTCACTGAGCTGTCCCCAGCCTCACTTCACTAATTTTTCCTAATTCTTATTTTGAGGCAATAACAGCCCAGAAGTGCCCCGACCTCTGGTAGCTCACGCTGGCATGGATGCCTGCAGCGCCGCACTGCTAGGCCAAGGATCCACTTGCTTTCGCTTTATTTAGAGTCTGTTTTCAATATCTGACTCTTAGAAGCTAATTAAAACCAACAAACTACTTTAAGTACTTTTTTGGAGATGGGGTCTTGTATTGCCTATGCTTGTCTCGAACTCCTGCGCTCAGTAATCTTCCTGTCTTAGGGTCCCAGGGCTGAGGACTAGAGGTGCATACCATCAAGGTCCCGCTTTTATAATTAATTTTGGCATAGCATTCCAAATGTTCTTTTTCCCACATGTCCACTGAGCTACCCTGACAGTTACCAACACTCTGGATGTTTGTGTTCAATCATAAGGGAGACAGAGATAGGACACAAAAGCAAAGACTGAATATCTAGCATCTGGAATTCCATTCTAACCATCACAGCACATCCTAATAGAAAGACAAATCGTCACTGTTAATTCTTATTTCGTTCAAAGAGCTAAGAAAGCCACAAAAATCTAAACATATATAGATAAAGATTCATCATTTCATAAAATAAACTGGTAATCTTCCAGGAAGATGGAAAGAAAGCAAACCTAAGCCAGGCCCTGCCCTGAACATGACGACCTCTCCTCAGCATGGGAAGACTTCAGAGACAGACGTGCTGGAGCTACCTAGCCTCTCGGGACCTGAACAGCAGGAGGGAGTGCTAGGGCTACACTGTATGACTGTCACAAACAAAACAAACAACTTTAAAGGACTAAATAGTCTTGAGAGGTAACTTAACTGTAGATCTTAATTACAGGCAAAGAAAAAATTACAACATCAACAAAAATAAAAAACTATCTGGACAAGAGGGATCTTTTTCTTTCTCTTCTGAATTACCTCACGTTCTTGATTATTTGGTAGACGTATCATGAAACACAAGGCTACCCAAAGATAACTGTCATTGAACATCGAGCACTACACATTAAGACATACCAAATTAAGCTTAGGAAACTGCATCTCTCCCCACCGAGAGGCAAAACAGTGGAGTTTAGTCCATTACTACCGAGTATAGATGGTTGGGCTAGGTTCAAAGCACATACTGAAGCTAATGTAGACAGGGACCAGTGCACACTGACCTTCTGGTTCATTTAAGGGTCATATTCTATCACTCCCAGGTAGGCCCTAGGTTCATGCTGCTAGATAGACCCTAGCCCTACAGTTCAGGTGGATGTAGTTCTGAGTACAGAATCAGCTGCAGAGGCCTGTATGAACCGTCAGCACCTCCTGGAGCTTACTGGTGTCAGAATTCTCTGCCCATCCCATGACTGGAGAATAAGGAGCCACTTTCACAAGGTCCCCAAGAAGTATTAGGGCTCTCTGAAGTCTGAGCACACAGGCACTCAAGAATTCAATTGTCTGATACCTCTACTCGCCTGTTCTTACCTGGCCTGCTCTCTGCTCCCCTCTTATCCTTTCTACGAGACCCTTCCACAGTGCCATCTGAGACTTACTAGCTGTAGAGCTTGTATGTCCTTATTCTTACTAAACTCAAGACTGCAACTCTTTACAGCTGCCCTGGTGGAAGATGCACGCATGCGCCTGTACGCCCTTGTCTTGCCATTCAAATCTCTTTTCCTCCATGTCACCCAGTTACCGACCCACTTCTAGATCCACCTTCCACATCCACACTCAGTTTTGGAACCAGCTTCAGTTCTCTCCCACCCAAAGTCATGGATCAGTTGGAAATGACCTGGGTCTACAAGGGGAGTCGTGCTGGGCCCCATCTCGGTCCACTCATTTTCTCCCAGTCACACTTTGGCAATAGGTGCCATTCCAGATTCCTGCCTATCTCTGTTGGGGAGCAAGCACTCTTGCCTTCCCCTCCTTGGGAACGCCGATCCTAAGAACACGCTGGGACACAGTTTCCTTGGGAGGGCAAATTAGAAGGGTCTCACAAGCCTGACCCTGAGGTCATACTTACAGTTAGCCTTTTAGTAACCTTAAGTTTCCAGCAAAACACCAACTGATAACTACCATGCCCACACTCTAACCCCACCCCACCCCCGCGTGAGCAGCTGCTTCAGCCCGGTCTCAGATACCCCATTGTCAACCCCAGGGGATTCTTGGTGCTGTAAGACGTACCTGGAACTCCCAATCACACTACTACGCCACTCTGCTCACTTCTCCAACCCCGACCTGCTTTCCTACACCCCTTGCCTCCCTACCGTTCCACCTCGGGAGCCTCCATTCAGGTCACATCAACTGTCCAACTTTCTTTCTACCTAGACTGGAACTGCTGAAAAGACTTTTACACCCACACTTGATTTGTGAGGGAAGAGGAGGACCTGTAGCACCCATTACCCTGTTGGCCCCCCAGGGCATGGCTCTGGGAGAGAACAAAGGTAGGGTGTCTAAACACACTAGACACCACATTTAACCTTCATCTAAGCAACACAACTTCACAAGGGCAAAGATCTGACCTTAACCAGCACTGGGCTCCAAGAAATGGCAGTGAGCATGTGCCCTGTGCTCCCATTCTCTGGACCACTCAGTCTCTCACAGCCCAGCTCCTGGACAAGGACATCCTCAACACAGCGTTATGGAAAACAACCACAGCAGCAGCAGAAACCTAAGAGGTTTAACTACGATATTTTCAGGTTAAAAGAACCAAATTTATGCTGTTAAAGAAAGAAGGAAGATTGTGACACACAGAGTTGCCGCATTCTACTCTGAGCCCCGGCCTATCCAGAGGAAAAAGGCCTCTGCTCTCCCTCACAGCCTGTCCCAAGCACTCGTGGCCAGAGACTAGTGGCTGTTACCTTAAGATGGGCTCCAGGTCAGGGTGTCGCCGCTCTTCCCTTTTTAAAGACCCCTGATTTAGGGCTCCTAAGATGGTCTTGTCAAAGGTCTCAGAAGACAATTCCTTTGGAAGCTACAAGAGAAAAACAGTATCCAATGCTGAGTTCTTCAAACATATGAACAAATATAAACAGACTTAAAAAAACTGCCTTCTCCTCAGCCAGCCCACAGCATTCTTTCCAAGGCTGACGTGGTACAGATCTCCTGGGGCTTGCCTAGATGCACTGGACACCCATGTGTTCAGCACATGACTCGCACATGTGAGGCCCTATGCCCTTCAAGATGACATCCATACAGAGCTTCAAGCTAAACTAGCATAGACAGCGGCACTGTGATCTTGGAACACTATTCTGAAAAGTGTTGTCTCCATCTCCATAGTTATCAGTTTTGTGCTTCCTGCCGCTCACATTGTAATCTCAGCAGTGCTGGACAATTCAATGCTCTACGCCAAATAAAGAACAAAGTTAGGAAGGCTGGGTCAAATTCTTTTGAGTTTTATTTACACCAAAAACACCCATCAGAGCTGGTGATGGTTCAGTATTTGCTACTCAAGTTCAATGCCCAGAACCCAGGCAAAGTGGATGGGAGAAGTGACTCTCAAGGCTGCCCCCGACCTCTACGTGGACCAGACCCTGCACAAGCCACACCCATAATTATAAAAACAAAACAAAAACCACCCTCCAGATTTTCCCTCAACATGATGGACGTGTCCTATGAGCAATGTGCTAGAATCTGTAAGAAAGAATCATTTGGCCAAGAAAAGTTTCAAATGAAGCCAAACTCTTATCATATTATTTAACTTGCTTAATTAAAAATATTCCTGGAAAATGGGTTCTAAAACTAACTAAGCTTTTCAAGAATTCAATTTTGACTTTTGTGATTAACTTCTGAATTACTGTCACTTTCACTAAAATTCTTTTAGTAAACAGTCCCCAAACACGAGAGGGCAAAGGTGACGGCACTGAGGTTGGGCACAGTGATTTGGACAATGTCTGCTCATCAATCTGGGGAGATCACAAAATGGCATCGTCACTCTACCACGAAAAGCATGTCCTCCAACCCCAGACTGAAAAAATGAATTCTGAATTGACACATTTCCCAAATAAAAAAACACTATTAATTTCAAAATGGACACTTTGACATCAGCGTATTAATATAGATTTTTGACAGTAGGTATTTATTACTAACTTTAAACATTAGTAAAACATATTATTTAGTGTATATAGTGTGTGCACATGTATATGTATGAACATGTGTGTCTGCACACGTCGGGGAGACCAGAAGTTGACACCAAGTGTCTCCCACCATTGCTTCCCAGCTCATCTTTTGAGACAGGGTCCCTCTCACTGATTCACAGTTCACTGATGAGCTAGACCGGCTGGCCAGTGATCTCAGGGGATCCACCTGTCATTCAACACTCCAGTACTAGGGCCACAGACATGCTGGACTTGACGTAGTTTTTACATGGGTGTACTGCAAACATATCTACAAGTAATACACTGACAAAGAAGCCGTGGCAGAGAAGTCTATTTCAATTTTCAAGCCCCTGATGGTTGCTTTACACAACTGAGGCCCACCATGCAAAGTGCCACCAAGTTAATGCAATGTTCACATTACTGGACTGCGTGTGGCCACGCAGTCAGCATGCAATCTAGTTTATTTTCATGTTGTTTTTGCCTTTTTTCCAGGGCTCACTCAATTGGAAGCTTTCAGGTGTTTCGTGTATATTCTATTTTATACTGGACTTTCTCCTCTCTGCATCTTAGTTATAACAGATCTAGTCCTATGTCAGCCTCCACACAATCTCAGAGTAAGGAAAGGTTTTTTATCTAGGTACAAATTTATCTTAAAAAGGCCAAAGCCTAATAAGCAGACTTTTATCTTTATTTTTCTTGTTAATAAGGTTAGCAGAAATAAATTGTTGATTCACAATAGGGAGTTGCAGCCTTCACCTCAAGGAGTCTCCTAAAAGGGTCAGTAGCTCAAGTGGGAACGAAGTGGCCTTATTTGTAACCATCTTAAGCTCCCACTGTGTGGTTTTGGATCTAACCTTGATGACAACTTGCTTGGTCAACACACATCTCGACTGGAAGCATCGACACCACCACTGACATCACTGGCGGGTTATCTGGCAGAGTCTTGTCAACTGATAGTCTCTGCAAGTGTGATCGGCTATCCTCTCCTGTGTATTAGCGACTTGCAAAGATTGAGAAGCTTTGATGGAACTAGCTCATCAAGACCTTGGTACCCATGTTATGATGAACATAACAACTTAAGCTGATCAATCTACTTTCATATTAATAAAAGCCTGTATCTTCTTCCCTTACTTCATGAAGAAGGATACCATGAGGCAGCCCCTCATTGAAGAAGTCCTTTACTCTGAAAAGAAGCCAATCAACTTAAACTGTGTTATAAATCCCAAACCTGTCTTTCCTACTGATTTGTTGTCTTCGCACTTTAATGGCTTACACTTGTGATGTCAAGACCCTGAACTCAACTGGAGGAGGGACCCTGGGCTTGACTGTCATGAAGAGACCACCGCAACACTGTCAGCTGAACCACGGGATGCTGGTTTGCTTTCTGAGCCACACTAAAGTTAGATCCAATGCAGACTTGCCAATCTTGCTCTTCAACTCAGGGGTCGCTAAAGTAGACTCCAGATGCCATAGAGTAGTTTACTCTTCACGACTAGACATGGCCGGGTCTGGAAACTGCTGTCCAGCTGCAGAAAACACAGCTAGCCATGGGCACACTCCATATGCACCAGCAGCTGCTCCATTCTAATGTTAAGACAGTTTTTGAAGCACACGCTTTAAAGAGGGACTGCAGTTTGTCATCTCTACAATTGTTCCTATGCAGTCATTCATAAAACCTCCCTACAATGTACAGTACATTTCAGTCACTCAAGAAGCTAACAAGCATCCAAAATCCTACTCTGTTCTCACAAACTGTGAATACAACAGCAGAGGAAGAAACAAAAATTCAGAGCTGCTGTGGAAACATGGAAAACAAAACTGGAGGGGGCCAGGGCATGGAGGGCAGAAGCTGCTGTTCTCCCAAAGACAGAACTCAGCAACTCCAAGCCCCTATTATTTCTGGAAACTGTAGTACAACTCAACACCAACATACCCGTTCACAGCATCACTGCACAGGTGCTCAGATGGACAGATTCTGCTCTGGATTTCTATAAATAAAGTTAAAGATAGAAGCAGGCAACCTGAAGAATACTTGACAAGAGGCAATTTCTTTCTAGAAAGACAGTGAAGATTACCCCATGTAAGAGTGGTGTTCATACATTTAAGGAAAAGTGCTCTAGTCAAATGCTGGCTAAGCAGAGGGGTTAATTATCATGACCCTGAAGAACGAGTTAGGCATTTGGGAGTTTTGTTGTTGTTAAGCATTTATCTTTTAGAAAAACTATGTGATAGAAGAAATGTAATCTGTTAAGATACAGCACTGCTCAAGTTTATGTAGACACAGAAGACTGCTAGAAGCCAGGCCACAGCTGGCAGAGGGCTCTGTGTTGCTCACTGAACTCTTAGAGGAAGACAGACATAGAGGTAGCAGTCTCACACACAAGCTGGCCTCGATAGGTGGCACTGTATCCTGTGGAGCTCATTCTCGTGCACTGGAGAAAACAGGAGACAGAAGGAAACAAGAACACCCTGCTGCCAAAGCCTGGTGGCTGCTCATAATTGTTTATTTAACTTACATTAAACGCTGGTAAATGTACCCTATCAAGACACAAATGAGCTTGCAGTAAGCAGAAAAGGTTCACAGATGCATGCAAAGGAAAGAGGGGCAGATGCAACTCGGCTTTATCATCAGGAGCCAGCCAGCGTTTGCTCTCCCTGCTGCAATGCTGCCTGGCTCCCCAGCACCTGGCAGGGTCACAGCCACTCATTTCCTTAAGTCTGGCAGAAAAGGGCCCATGCTCAGAATGCTACTCTTCTATCTTGGTCTTCTTTCCACCAAACTGTGGAGGGCTGATGGGTTAAGGAGAGACACAGGCTCAACCCATCTTGACAAGCAGGCCTTTAGGAACCTGAATGGGTCAAGGAGTTCTCAGCCCTTAACTGACAGAACCCAAAAACCTATGTAAAACTAAACACTACCGGCCAAAATAAACAAACGCACACCAATAAAATTACTTCTAAGGACATTCTACTACACACCTAAGTGGAGGCCCAAAAATGTGAGCCTATTTCCACCTTGTCTGAAGGTCAGGGAGTTTCAGCTTGCTCAGAGTTGTTGCCATTCCACCCTGACCAAAGGTCAGAGTTGGAACTTACTTCTTTTCTTTCAAGGTTATTTTCCGTTTCTACCTCAAAGTTCCCACCTAGATGTAGGTCAGAGGGTTCTGCTCACTCAAGGTTATTGTCAACAGGTGTGGCTAATATCCAGCCCTTGTATTTCTGGAATAGAGAAGTAGATGTGTTTCTACCTCAAACAAAGTCTAAGGATCCAACTAAGTTCCTACTCCCTTATGTAGATAACAACGGATTGCCTACTGAATGTTTAACTGAGAATGTAGCCCACAGTCTTCAAATAGTCAGTTCATTCCTTCTATCATGCTGATGCGGTTTTTTTGTTTTCCATTTGTCGTTTTTTTTTGTTTTTTGTTTTTTAACTCCTGTCCTACCTTTTAGGATTGGAGTTTTTAAGCAAATGGAAATTAAAGGCAGGCAATTTTCAGTATTCAGTGAACTCCCTCCTGGTACTATCCTGTGTTTCTATTTTATTACTTTTACTCACATCTTCGTTCTCTTTTATTTTTCTAATCCCCATGCTCCTACCCTGGTATGGAAACTGGTCTCTGACACTCCTAGATGAGAGCCTTATACAGCCGTCATCAGAGAAGCTTCCTCCTGCAGCAGATGGGAACTAATACCCACAGCCAGACATTATACACACAGATCTTGGAATACACAGTTCTAAATGGAATATCCTCCATCTAATCTCTCTCCAAGGTTCAGGGAGCCCCACTGAAGAGGAGACAGAAAGAGTCTAAGAGTCCGAGGGGACAGAGGACATGAGAGAAAGGCCCTCGGAATAACTGAGCACGGCTCATACAAACTCAGAGGCTGAAGCAGCAAGTACAGGGCCAACACAGGTCTGTACCGTCTTCTGCATTATGTTACAGCTTTCAGCTTAACGTTTCTCAGGGATTCCTGAGTCTGGTGCCTTCTCATGGAACTCTTGTCCAACTTCAGTGTAATGGTTTTTATTTTGTTATCTCTTAGAAGCCTGTTCTTTTCTAATGAAAGACAGAAAAGAAGTAAGTCTGGATAGGAGGGGAGATGAGGAAAAACTGGGAGGAATAGAAGGAGGGAAAATTATAATCAGGATATGAGAGAAAAAAAAGAATCTATTTTTAATAAAAAAGGGAAAAAAAGAGAAAATTCAGTTTAAAATAAGCCATAGGAAAGACACTATTCCACTGCCTTAATCCAGACAGACTAACAAATCCCGCGAGCCACCGTTTCGCCAGGGTATGGAGCATCAGCTACGCATTCTGCTCAAGCCCCCGGACTGTGAAAATGCAGTCCCTTGCAGAGTTTCAAGAATCAACAGTCACAGACATGAGCTCAACACAAGACACATATCGTGGCAGGCACACAGTGCAAATCCGCAAATGTCAGGTGCTATCAGTTCAGTAAGGACACTCTAATATGAAATTTGGTAACTGAGTTATGAATATTTCTTGTTTCTGGATTTTGCAGCTTTATCTCTCTGTTAACAATAAGCTGTGAAGTATTTGCTTACCGTGCAATAGTAATTTATTGATCATGTAGACCTAGCTTCCCCTTTTACTGTTTCTTTCATTTTTTAATTAAATCTAATTAGAAGACTTTATTTACTCAAGGGAACAGGTAAGGATGTGTACAAAAAAAGAACAAAAAGAAAAAACAAAAACACAACAATCTTTTGACAATTCCATCATCTTCTCCTTTTGTGGATGGGGTGGGAGAAGGTCAGGCTCCGAGGTAGACAAGATTTAGGAAAAGCCCACAGATGCAGAGCTTCACAGTTGGTAGGTAGCACAGGAAATAAGCCTCACACCACTACAGACACTGTCCAGGGGGAAGAGCCCTTAAAATGAAACATCTCTGCTAGAAGCTAAGCATGGGGACCCATTTTCTAAAGAGAATCCCTTTGCCACTTAGGCCAGCAATGTCACCTAAGAGATACAATGTAACATTTCCTACTGCTCACATTCCTTGTGTCTGGAGCCAACTCTGTGTTTTCATTCCTCGCTGCTTTGATGCTGAAACTTTTGGAATCCTTTTGTCATACATAAATCTTAACAAGGAAATCTGTAATGTTACCTTCAGTAGGAACTCCTGTAGCTCTTGGTGGGTTTTTGTTACTGTTGTGACTGAAAGGTCAGACCAATTTACCTGATTTAAGAAAACACAGATTGCATGGTTATTGCTTAGGCAGGAACTGGTTGGGGAAAAAGCCATGTGTAAAACAAAAGGCCTTACTTAAATTTTAAGATTAGCAATTAGAAATATAAAGTTCTTCTAGCGTTATCATAGCTTCTATAAATGTGTTTAATCTTACATTGATATTCTACTCAAAAGTTTTTCAATAATTTGTTTCAAATTACACTTTAAAAAGCAGTGTTAAAACGTAACTATATTTTAGTAATTTTCAGAAACTAATTTTTCAGAAATGTTTTGCTTTTTTGGTTAAATACAAAAATGATACTATGACAGAGTAGAGCCAAAAGATAAAATCCTGTCCCCTGTTGCTCACTAAATGTACAATTCCAAAAGAAACAGTCAGGGCAGTGTTTCCCTCTTTAGTAGTACCATTTTACAGTTGAGGGAGATTTAGCTTCTGAAGAGATTATCACTTTGATTTCAGACGTTTTAAATCCTAGAAAGATGCTTCAGTGCGCCTGATCACCTCCATTTCCAGGTAGAGAGAATGAGCTAAGTGTGAGCCAGAATGAACACAGGATCAGGACTATGCTGGCTCCTAGACACTAAGAATTCTGTGAACTTCAATTCCTACTGTACATCTGATTTAAGTAACTACCTGAAATATGCTAATATCTAAGTCTTATCAATTAAACATATAACAATTAGATAAAGCACACAAAATTCTGCCTAGCAACCCTGTTTATTGGCTGGTACAATTCTTACATGATAATCACCTACGTGGGTAGGTGGGTACTGGAGGAGACATGACAACTGAAGTCTGAGTTAGTCTCGTGTCACAGTCACACAAACCAAACCAATGTTTAAGAGTTTCTACAGTCACCATCACCTCAAAGATGGGGGCTTCGGCCTGAAGCAAGAGCAGCCAGGGGTTAAGAAGGCTCTGTAGAGAGGGAGCATTTGAGCCAGATGAGCTGTGCTTTGGTCCAAGGTAAGGAGAAAGGTCTACAGAAAAGCAGTGCACTCTGACAACTAGAGAAGCCAGCATGCAGAGTTTCAAGGGCAAAGAGTCAAATATGCCAAAAGTGAGACACATGGAAATTGGAAACGGAAACCACAAAGCCAAGGATTATTCTCCTTCAAAGTAGAAGTTAAAAGAGTTTTAAAATTCATTCAAAAAATGTTCTGAGCAAGGCAGACACCGTAGGATGGCAGGGGCTGAAGATGATCTACTCAAGGACCAGTGGAAGCAGGCTGCAGAGGAAGGAGAAAACGTCTACCAGAGGTTACAAGAGTCTTCCGGAGAGAGGACAGCTAGAACCTGGCAAGCAGTGGCTGTTGGAAGAACTGACGTGGGGCTGCCGAGAACCCTGGCTTCACTCCAGAGGTTTAGAGTATAGTATGTGTGATCCAACATTAGCAGGCTCAACAGTGAAGCTGCAGCAGAGAGAAGCGGGTGGAAAGTCTTACCCTGACAGTAACAGAATCTGACCGGACCCTGGGGTTCTCAGCCAACAAGACAACAAAGCCACAAAGCGGGGGTGAAAAAGCCCCATGAGGAACAGGGAAGCAGGGCAGTGATGCCAGGACAGAGAAGGCCAGTGGTCTGCAAATACTTTTGAAAACATTTGCTTTTACTTTTAAAGGCTATACCTTACACTTTTAATAGTGTCCCCAAGTCTAAGGTTCTTGTTTTTAAAAACTACCATATTTACCTACCTACCTACCTATCTATATACCTACCATCTTTAAAGTAGTAAACCCGCTAGCAGTTAGTTCTTCTAAAGATCACTTATTGTAGTAAATGATGCATCTTTTGGGGGTAAGAATAGCTTACTTTGAAAGTGTACTCCCAATATTTGTCAGCCCTTTTTCTCTGGACTCCTTTCAACATTATCTTCTCAATGTGTACAGCTGAAAGAAAAAACACACATACTGACTGTGTTAGAGATTACACACATATTCAGTTACCTAAAGGAATCTTATAACTTGACAAATGCCAGTAATTAAACTATTTACTGACTCCCCACAACTAAACTTAACAAACGATACACAGCAATATGCCACCCATCCATGCACGAGTGGATGTTTCCTATATATGTCAAGATGCTGAATGCCAAGAGTGTGAAGCAGTCAACAACAAAAACGAAATACCCAAAGAGACTTTACTGAAGATTTTCTCTACAGGATAACAATGAAAATTCTTATTCAGATTATCACAATATAGCACTTTGGTGTCAACTTACTACACAAGGCTTGTTCAATTATTTATACATAATAGGAATAAATTAGAAAGTACCTTCTTGTTTTTAATTTGTATAAATGTTTGCCTACATGTATATATGTGTATCACATGCATGCCTGCTGCCCACAGAGGCCAGGAGATTCTGTATCTCCTGGAGCTGGTAAAATGTAGTGTAAACTGAGCACCATAAGGAACCCTGAAGTCTCGCTGTAAAAGCACCATATGTACAGTTCCAAGGATGGAATGGTGGACACAGTGAACATGAGAACATAGTGAACATGAGAATAGGCAGTCTATTCACAAACTAAGCAAACATGAAAGCCCCAGCCACTCACTCTATAGCTCCCTCAGTAAATTGTCATAGAAAAGAAAAACTGGGGGGAGAAAGTCAATCTAAAAAGGCCGCTCTACAAACTGTAACACAAGGTCTTCGAGACAACAGATAGTTGCTCGGGGTGCAAACCAGGGAAACCATACTTACTTGAGCTGAGGTGGCAACATCAGAGGCTGACAAAAATGAACTTGATAATGATGCCAGAAAAGAGGTTGGGAAAGCAGTGCAGTGGGGTGGGGTGGGGTGGGGTGGGGAAAGAGGACCACTGATGGATTCAGGGGAAGGGTGACTCATTCTGCTGCAGAAGAAGTTTAAGTAGCGAAAGCGCAGACGTGAGAGCAAGACTGTTACACACCGTGGGAGATGAGCAACCAGAGGACGCGAGGGACAGAAATGCAGCAGGGAAGTGCATTCAGAATAAGCAGGGAGAGAGTACTAACAGCACTTTGGCTATCTTTCACAATGTATTACTTTCTGGGCTGCTTCAGCCAGCCTCTCTGGGCTTCAGAAACACTGAGGGTGAAGGGAGGAACAAAAATTTTCAAGTACCAGATGGTGACTCTCAGACCCGTGCAATGCTACAATGACCAAAGAGGGATGAGAAGCCCTGGGTTTCCAAAACCTGCTATACTGAGAAACAGAGTGCCCGTCCAGAATGCACGAAGTTCTGGGTTGATCCCAGAACAGCACAGGCGAAGGCATGTGAGCTGTGAACAAGGCCAACTTGGGTCATTTAGCAGGATCTGTTTCAAGGAGAATCAAGACAAGAACAGAGGCATGTGCACTTCCATCCTGCAAACCGCTGGGTTCTTGGCTTTCTGTCTCTCGCATTCTCTCCCTCTGTGTGTGTGTGTGTGTGTGTGTGTAATGCCTGCCAGAAGTCAAATGTGGGCTGTCTTCATTAATCATTCCCCACCATATTTTGAAATATTATTTTACTGACCCTGGAGCTCACTGATTCAGCTAAATATCTGACTGGCTGGCAAGCTCCAGGGAGCCTTCTCTGCCTTTGTCTCTCCAGCACTAGAATTATAGTCCCACATGTTGCTGCGCCTGGCCTTTTGCACGGATGCTAGGGATCCGACTTCCAAGTCCTCAAGCTTGCAAAGCACTTTATCAACTGAGCAATCTATTTCCCAAACCCTTAGTGTTCCATGTTTAGCAGAGGAGACAGAGGGAGGGAGGGAGGGAGGGAGGGAGGGAGGGAGGGAGGGAGGGAGGGAGGGAGGGAGGGGACTTGATGCTGCTGCTCCTTGCTGGGAACATGCTTTACCTTCATCCTGGATTTCAAGTTATGCCTGCTGCTGCTACCTGTCTTAACCCTCATAAACTAAAACCAGAGAGCAGGTATTACATACCATGTTTTTAACAGTTAGAAATAAAGAACCACACATGTTACTACCTTAAAACTGACTGCTATCATTTGAAATAGTCTTCCTTTTCTAATTTTTTTTATGAAAACGAACGTAAGACCAAGCTCTGCATCAGGTTACTCTGAGTTCAAGGAGCTGAACAGAAGGAGTTTACATTTCTTCCTAACTAAACAGACGCACTTCTATCCAGGAAAACTACACATCAAAAAGATTCTGACTCAAAGGAGGCACACTGACACGAATTCAGAGCTGTAACCGAGTGTGTCTTATGCATCCTTGGCTCATCTACAACTTACACAGCAGCCCACACTTTGATTCAAGTCTTCTCATTACGGGCTTATGGACACCTCAAATGCAAAGAAAAGGAAACACTCAAGCCCAATCCTTTCTAGGTGACACTGTGCCTTCATTCCATGTGCCATGCCTCTTTAAAACTGCATGGAAAATGGATTTGTGAACAATTTCTTCATCCTCTAACTATGATCTCTGTTCATTTCCTTTTCTTTTTTTTTCTTTTTTAGTAGACATGACCACACTCTATAGACAAAAACACTATAAAAGTACTTGAAAAACAGGATAAAATCTTTGTCCTACAGAAGCACACAGAGGTTTAAGAGACAGCCCCAAAGACAACTGTCTGACACAGGCCCCACACACGAGAGGACAATCCAGAACACAGAAGTCACAACAATGGGAACACTGCTTTTGGGCAAAAGCCTAGTACCAACAGGATTTCTCTACAAAGAAGAGTGAAGTTAAATAGCACTGGGGCTCAGCTGACAAGAGTGTGTGTGTCTGGCACCACAAGCCCTGAGGTTGCTTCCGAGTACCACATAAACCAGGTCTGGGGGCACAGGCCTATAATCCTAGCACTTGGGAGACATAGGCACAAGAGCAAAACTTCAAGACCAGCTTTGGTTATATAGTAAGTCTGCCGCCACCTTGGGCTATGTGAGAACCTATCTCCCAACCAATCAACCCCACCAGCAGCATCGACAACAACAAAAAACCTTGAGTGTAAACAATGCCTTGCCTTAAGTTCAAATACAGCATACCTTCTCGCTGAGCTCTGTGAGGGGCCAGAGTGAGTCCATCTTGAGGTATCTGGGCTTGTTCTACTAAGCCAGTCTCATTATTCTGTATATAATCACCACAAGCAGAGTCGTTCTAGAAGAGAAGATAATGTGTTAATCTATAGCAGAGAAGAGAGTTTCTATGACAAGTTCTGCAGTCTGAGTAACTGTACTTAAGTTACCATGACTAGACATTAAGGGTGGAGAGAAACCAAGTGTTAAGAGTCACAAGTAGTAGTATAAATGTTTATTTTATTTAACAGTAATCTTTTCAAACATTTACTTTTCCAGCTATTTTGACACACAGAAATCAAATATTGCTAACTGGAGTTGCCAGTAGTGTCATTCTATACCAGGTAAACTGGAATCAAAATGATATATAAAGGGAATGGTACACTTTATGTTAATTTCCCAAGTAAGTGCATTGGCACTTTGTATGTTAATCACTACATAAAGTTTATTTACTGACTGGTTTATTGACAATCTATTAGGGATGCTCTGTTAGGAAAAAGCATTACCAACAGCACCATTACCACACACCAAATCGTTCTAAGAAACTATGTATGGATAGCTTACCATTAAAGCCAAGCCACTCAGAAGCTATTGGGAATCCTGACTGAGTTGACTCGGTCCATCACTAGTAACTATGGGTGTGCGCCCCAAAGGTTGGATGTTTACAATAATAAAAAGCACACCAAGCTTACAGCTCTCCAGAATTAAAGCAGTGTTATGTTATGTTGTTATTATAAGAAAATAGCCCTGTCACTTCTCTGTCCTGACACCTTCCCTCCTCCTCTCCCCAGAACCTCAGTAACCCTCAAATACCACTCACATCAAGGCCACTTGTCAATAACGCACTGACTTTTCAACTGTGTAACGACAAATAGAGGCCAGGTAAGGTAGCATCCTGCTGTTCAATGCCCCAAACTAGTCTGGCGGTGAGTGTGGGATTCTACTGATGTGAATGAACTCCATTACATACTCCTGGGAACTAAGCCTCACACCCACCTTCCAGACACCCAAGGCACTAGGAGTGATAAAGCACCCTGTGGTGAGGAAAGCACAATCTCTTCAGTGCCAACGGCTGACACATTTGGCCTCACAGATGCTACTTTTTTTTTATCGATTTTTAACAATAAACTCATATTTTATCCTAATTCAGATCATATAATTTTTCCTTGCAGCCAGCATTTGTCAGAGAGGGTTTGCTAATTAAAAATTCAACACCTTTCTAAGTACTTTAAAAAAATTAATAGCAACACAGTGCTGGCAATATGGCTCAATGGCAGAGTACCTGCTTAGCAAGTGCAAGGTCCTAGGTTTCATCTCCAGTACCATAAAAAACAAAAGCAGAAATGAAGCGTTCCAATCTTCCCAAATAGCTATTACCTGAAAGAATCTTTCAGTTTCAATTACTTCTTTTTCTTTTTATTCCTTCCGGTTTTACTTTGAACTACATGTCTGTTATGTATGGGTACGTGCACATAAGAACAGGGACCTGAAGAGGCCAGAGGTCTAAGACATCCCTAGAGTTACAGGGACCCGGGTCCTCTGAAGGAGCAGTATGTACTCTTAACCAATGACCCATCTCCCCACCCTTACTCTGTTTCTTATAGCAGCCAAAATACGATTTCAGTTTAAAACTATATACCTTCAAATGTAAACAAATGAAAAAATGCAACAAATTTCTATAAAAAATGCAAATTGAAGCACAATGAGATCACTTTACGTCTAACAGAATGGTTATTGTCCAAAATAAGGGGAGAAGAGTTGAAGTAGTATAATCAATGCCACCAAATGTTGTTACAATACCTTACCACAGTTAATTAATAACACTGCTTCCACAAGCATCATATTCAAACCATGGAGAAGTAGCTTGCTTCACAACCAAAATCACAAACCTGAAAAGTTACTTTTAAGAACAAAATTGTTGGCCATGGCGGCACACACCAGTAATCCTAGCTGTACAGGAGGCTTAAGCACAAGGAGCTCAGGTTCAAGGCCAGACCAGCAACTTAGCAAGATTCTGCCCCAAAATGAAGTGAAATGGGCTGAATAGTAAGTACGAGAGGGCCTATGCAGCAAACTGTTTAATAAATTAGGACCTAAGTCCACCAACCATAAAACACCTGCAAACCATTTCTTATCCCCAAAGCTCAGTTTTGCCAGTACTGTGAAACTGTTCAGACTAAATTTAGAAACTGTTTCTAAACTTCACAAAGAGCTATGAAGAACATAATTGTGGAGTTTATTATCACCAAATGGGAAAGGCTGTCAGTCATGCTGCCTCCGTCTGCACATATCACACACCATGACATTCAGTGGAGGAAAGATGCCATGATGTTTGATGTCACTGTCTATATAGGAATGACATCTACCCCCCCATTAAGTTCTGGTTCTCACCTTTGTGGAAGAAATCAGCCAAGCAGAAGTTTCGGTTCTATAGCAACTATGACACAAGAGGCAAGAATAGTCTAATCTAAGCTCAACCAAAGGCAAAGTTTTGAGAATTAACCCACAGCATTTGACACAAGCAAGTTCCAGATTAAGAAAAACACATCTTGTATCTTAATTGAGCTGTAACCATAAAATTGACACATCTCAGAACAGGCATGATATGGAGGTCTGCTATGACTATGGAGTCTTTCTGGTGGCTTATTAACTAGAAATGTGGATCACAGATGATTCAACAAGGGGGTGGCAGAAACGGCCACTTTAAAGCTTGACTGAAGAGCGTATAGGAGGTATTTACGGACTACATACACTCTGCTCTAACAGTCCACACCAGCTTTGCTATATGTATATTCTTCTTAACATGATATTTGCGATAACAATGGCAAAGTATGCAGGCTGGAGGGGAACAACATGGCAGGGAAACTGTCACTATAGGGGGCTCTGTACACTTACTGACTGAAAAATTAAAACTGGTGACCTTTGCTAGAGCAGGCCTGGGACGGTGAACTCCATGGGAGCAGGAGCATCTGTGGAAGCAGGACAGAGACAGCAAGCTCCACAGGAGCAGGGCGGATCCAGAACAGGGGTATTTGCGGAGGCAGAACTGAGTCAGACACCTGGCCTGGGTCACAGCAGACCTGACACAGTGAACTCAACAGGAGCAGGTATAGGGAAGCAATTGCTGAGCAAGTGGGCCAGAGACTGCTGCGGGTCATGGTGTGAATCTGGGACTTCTGAGGGAGTAGTCCTGAGCCAGGACCTCTGCAGGTCCGGGCGCACCCGAGTTGGGGACCTCCAAGGGAGAAGATCAGAGCCAGAGGCCTTTGCAGGACTAACCCCAAGCCAGGGACCTCTGCATGAGCAGATCCAGACCAGGGGCATTTACAGAAACAGGTCTGAGCTGTCAATCTAGACCGGATCAAGCCTTAGACCGCAAACTCCACAGGAGCAGAGCACACCCCAGAAGCACTGAGCAACCTCCAGGAACACAGAGTGACCAACGGGGCAACTAGAACTGTGGCACTGACTGTACCACGAGGATCAACCATCTGAGCCTTGGATCCACTGGCACCTAGAAGATTAGAAGACTGATCATCAGAATCACATTCAGCCCCAACCACACCTATTAGAGGAAAAGATGAGTAGACAAGAACACAGGCAACATCACAAAGAGCAACACAACACCAGTAAAATCAAGAGACACTACAACACCAACACTTGAACAACCAAATATAGATGAAGCAGAAAAAAAAATGACCTAAAAAATGACTTCAGGAGAATGTTTCAGACTCTTAAAAAGGAAATGAGAAATTCCCTCAAAGAAATGGAGGAAAAGGCAAACAAAAAATTGGAAGACATAAGCAAATCCCTCAAAGAAAACCAATAAAAAGCAATCAAACATATGAAGGAACTATTCAAGTCTTGAAAATTGAAGTAGTGACAATAAAGAAAACACAGGCCAAGAAAATTATAGAAACAGAATACAAGAGATGGAAGAGAGACTCTCAAGCGCTGAAGATACAATAGAGAAAATACTCACCAGTCAAAGAAAACATTAAATCTAACAAAAGCTTAACCCAAAATATCCAGGAAATACGGGACACCATGAAAAGGCCAAATCTAAGAATAATAGGTATAGAGGGGTAAGTTCAACTCAAAAGCACAGAAAATATATTCAACAAAATCATAAAAAAAAACCTTGCCCAACTTAAAGAAAATTATGCCTCTAAAGATACAAGCTTACAGAACATCAAATAGACTGGATCAAAAAAAAAGTCCCCTTATCACATAATAATTAAAACACTAAACATAAAATTAAAGAAAGAATATTAAGAGCTGCAAAAGAAAAGGCCAAGTAACATAAAGGCAGACTTATCAGAATTACACCTGACTTCTCATTGAAGACAATGAAAAGCCAGAAGGTCGTGGTCAAGCCTTATGCAGACATTAAAAGACCACAGATGCCAGCCCAGACTACTACACACAGCAACACTTTCAATCAACAAAGAAGGACAAAACAAGATATTCTATGACAAAAAAAAAAGTTTTACACAATGCCTAGCCACAAACCCAGCCCAACACAAAGTACTAGAAGAAAAACTCCAACCCAAGGAAGTTGGCTACATCAACAAAAATACAGACAATTGATGATCTCACAACAGCATATCCCAAATAAGGGAAAAACGCACAAATTAACATCACCAGCAACGAAAACTAACAGGAAACAGCAATCACTGATCATTAATATCCCTTAATATAAATGGACTCAACTCACCTATAAAAAGACAGAGGCTAACAGAATGGATACTAAAACAGAATCCATCCTTCTGCTGTACACAAACACACCTCAACCTCAAAGACATCGTCTCAGGAGTAAAGGGTTGGGAAAAATATTTCCAATCAAATGGACCTAAGACACAAGCTGGTGTAGCTATCCTAATATCTAACAAAATAGACTTCAAACTAAAGTTAATCGAAAGAGACAAATAAATTTTTTTTTTTTTTGAATTTTTGAGACAGGGTTTCTCTGTAGCTTTTTTGGTTCCTGTCCTGAAACTAGCTCTTGTAGACCAGGCTGGCCTCAAACTCACAGAGATCCACCTGCCTCTGCCTCCCAAGTGCTGGGATTAAAGGCGTGTG